TATACAGGCCTTCATATCGTTGTCTGAATAGCAAGTTCTAAACATGGTTTACATGCTCAAATCTAGTTTTCCAACACCTTCAAACAAATGTCTTGAATTCAAAGTACAAGTCACTTATTATCTCGTACATATCGATTAGTGATGAACATTCGTTGTTAATTCATTAATTTTGACTCTTTCAAACCCGATGTTCGTACTAGCTTTTCTTGTTCTGTTGTAATAAATATACGCTCTATGCGAATAACGACTCCGGGTATCTAATTTTCTTTTAACCACTTGGCAACAGGTGGAATTCTGGGCGAGGCACGCAGCGTGGTCGCGCGGCGAGCGCGCCCAGCAACGATCACAATGCGGCAGTCTTTTGATCAAATTTTTACTTTATCGTCATTAATTGGATTTTTTCGCCAGCAAGTCGTGAAAGATGATAGAAGGGAGTTAAACAAGGCTACTTGTGGTGGGATCATTACCGACTATCCTTCCTACAACCTCGTGTTCCAAGAGAAAAGCCAGACACACACGAAAATGGCGTGTTTCTTACTGTTACAGAATATTTTTTGTCCTATCTTATCCATATTCATTCAAAAATCAATCATATTATCTTTTATTATTCATGTTGACAAATTCTTGTTCTTATTCATTGTCTCATATGGCGAATAATCAAAAAATCAAGCACTTTATCACTTTGCTCTTCTGGAATCAAAAATTACGCCAAGAATTCTCTAGTTTTAAAACTATTTCATTCCATGAAACTCCTCAAAGTTATGACAATGATCAAAAATGAGAAAATGATCACTTGTTTGCCAAAAATGATGCTGCACACTGAATTCAGTGCCACCTCATCAATGATTCTCAATAGTTTCTCGATTATTAGTAGACTCCTAGAGTTGGAACCTTTTTGAAATACAAAAGATTTTGTTTTATCGACTCATGGGTACCAACTCTTTTATCCGCGTTTATTCTGTAGTGCGAGCGCTTTCTATTGCGGCGATTTTGACACTGGATATTTGTACCGTTTACGCCTCCTACATATTCCTTTTACTTGATGCCTCAAAAAGATTTCATGCACTCAATCAAATTCCCAGCTCCCCTAATAACACCAATGTGATCACAACCAGGTGGCTAGACGTCCAACAGTAAAACGGAGACCATCCGTTGCCCAACTGTTTTCCCATGGGCATCGTTTTCAACAGTGGGAGTATTCCCTCCACCGCATGATTTGATTCAATTCTTCCGCCTACACGTTCAAACAAAAGCTTGAGTCTTTTACTCCTTGCTTAGCTAATCATAGAATTATTCACACATCTGCCTTGTTAACTGCTATGAATATAGTTCCCGAATGTAAAGAGGAGTTGGATACTTTTGCATGTACAATACAACTCTGGGCCTGAAGCCAACTATGTCTGAATGAACAGCAGACAGATATCTAGGGGAAGAATGATGAGATCGAAAAACGCGGTCATAATCTTGCAGGATACCAGACAGAAATGGGAGTAAGAGTTGGAATCAAACTCATTTTTGTGGTTTTCCTGTTGAAACGCGTATTCTTGGGACGTGTCAGCGTACTTCCTACTAAAAATGCTTACGAAAATTTTCTTGGTAATATGTCGCTCTCTTGCGACAATTAAGCGTCCACGTAATCTAAACTTCGCTAGATAACTGTCAAAAGAACTTTTGACGAAGTTTAAGCAATGAGATTACTCTTTCAAAGGCAAGGCGTATATTTCCCAGCGATGGTATTAATAAAATACAAGGAAACACGATCACATTTCACCGAATGTGACTGCATTTCTCACAGCTCGCACCAAAAAGTGGAAATTTTTTAGGCAGCTAGGCGCTCTTTCTACTGAAAACAAGTTTATAGAGATCTGCCCAGTAATACTCGATACATTATGGCGAAAAAAGTCTTCTAAAATCAGAATTTCACTATAAAAAGTCCAAAAATCTCCGGTGAAGTCGAAAAATTAATTTTGATTGCAAAACTTTACCTTTCTTTTAGTCGGCCGAATGTACTTTAAAAGCCTTTTTCAAAGCAAACTCAGTATGAAAATCTAAATTTCTCATGTTATTGAATAACTGCAAAAACGTAAATGAAAAAGGAAGGAACGAGTGTTAGATAACACTTGGAAATATATACCCTTTTACGACAATGTGGGTTTTCTCGTTGAAACATAAGTATTTCTTAATGCATGGGGTTAATCTCCACTATAGAACCTTTTATAAAAGTCTCTTCTGTAATATTTTATTGAAATAAAAGTTTCTCAGGATCGAAATGAACGATATGTTCCCAAAAAGTCGCTGTCAAAGTTGAAACAGCATACACCGAAAGCAAAACATAATTCTTTTAGAATTATCTTTCCGTGTTTTCCACAAATTAGGCTTACTGCTAAAATTTTCAGTTCCCAAGCTAGCGAATGATTATTAATCATTCGGTAAAATGGCTCTTTTAGGAGAAGAAGAAGGAAACACGAGCACTTTTCACATAAGAGCGACCACATCTTTGCAATTCTTGATGAAAAGTGTAGACTTCTAAGACAACAGATTGCTTTCTCTCATAAAAATAAGTTTATAGAAGCCCATTCAGAGACAGTCTAATTTTTCGTAGCGAGAAAGTTTGCTTAACATCAAAATTCTAGTATGTAATACCAGAAAAATCCATTGTGGAATTAGAGCAACACACTTTGAAAGCAAAATTTTTTCTGTTTTTCAATAGCAGATGTTATATGGAAGTTTCGCAAAAATCTAAGAGAAGGGTGAGGATCGGCATTTTTCAAGCTATCAAACGAGTGCAAAAACATAGATTATGGAGGGAGAAGCAAATGTTCTTCAACGACTGGAAGTAAGTTTCCTATCAAAAGAGATGTGGTTTTTATTGTTCAAACATAGATTGATTTCCGACAGATGGCCGTTTTCTTAACCAAAAAACCTTTATAGAAGTTTCTTTTGTGACATTCCGTCACTTAATGCCAGTAATATCTCCTTAAAACCTTAAATAAACAAATAAATCTCTATTTCCATAGGAGCGTAATGACACATACTCGCCGCCGGCCAGCCACCGCTGCCGCAAGCTGCGATGCAACGCCATGTACCGAAAACGGTACCTATGGTCGTCAAGTGATTAAAATTCTTCGTTGAGGTGGTTTGATCAGCCTGTCGATGGTCTTCTTATTTATAGGCTTCAAACTTATGGAAACCCACTGGTTAACGTCTCTTATGCAACTTTGTGTCGAGAGAGACGCATGACCTCTTCGATCCCTCTGATTTCAGCACTTGATGTTTGAGGCAACGATTTTTATGGGCGACGAAGTAGAGATTATATAATTTCTTGTCTCGACTTTGAAGGCACTTTTCATTTTTGACAAACTCATGCGGCTGTAGTCGTAAAATCAAAGAGATAAGTGTGATGTATTGCAGTGGGAAATATATGCCCTCCAATCAACTTCATTCATTTTTACAAGGGTGATGTCACTTTTAGATCTGTTTCTTCACGACCGATAATGATTAAATATAGAATGGCAAATTTTGTCGATGTAGTTGTTTATCTGCATTTCAGAGTCGGACCTTTATGTAAGACTAGAAGCACCTTTTCTTTAAATCTTTCATCGTCGCTCACATATTATTGGAATTGAAGACCTTTCTTCAATGCGACAACTTTCACTTTCGCCAGGCTTTATGAGTTTTTGTCGATCTTGCGCTTTATGACTTCACCGTAATATACTGTTTTCAGAACTCTTTCATAGTCAAGGTTATTTCTTGTTGGTGGGATTTTTGACATCACATGAAGGTTAGCTCGTGTAGCGAGCATAGGCCATAGACTTCATGAACACTGAATTAAAGAACCCTTTATTATAAGAAAACGTTGAGCGTCCCTTCGCGGCTAGGAAAAATACGGGCTAAACGAGAGATCCTCATTCGTCGCTGTTTGGTCAATTCTTGTTGGCAATCGGTAAAGGTTTTCACTCTAGTCGTAGCTTTGTAATGCTCTCTGGCTCAAACTCCCGGAGCAATATATAGGGCCAAAATTCCCTGTGGGCTAATTTTCAGCAGTTAAACAATATCAGCTCATTTGTGAAAAGGAACAAGACGTTTTGAGGGGCAGATGTTCCAGTTATCTTGAACAATATAAGATAGTATCTTCAAATATTTTCCAAATTAGGAACTGAGGACTGCCTTATTGGACTTCCCGAATTAAAGCCACGGATGCTGTAGCAGTTATGGGACGTGTTCACAATCCTCAGGTCTTATTGCTTAACTACTTGAAATAATACTTTCACATTCGTTTAGATCGCATAAATGCAATCTAGTCGAAAAAGTAATTAGCTTGAATGATTTATTGACTACATACGATAGAGGTGAAATGAAAGAAGTTAGTTTTCCCTTTGAAAACCCGCATCAAAAGATGCGCCCATTAACGTGGCACCTTCTGGAAGCTTATCTCTATTTGAGGCTATCGAAAAAAACTTGCCTTATAAGTGTCATACCATTCGTTTCTGATTTTTGTTAAGATTACAGCTCGCCACACATGTCATGTGGTCTGCTTAGCATGGGCTGACGCATTGAGCCCGATACACGTGTTTCGATTTTACGATTTCGTCAGTCGGGCAGCTACCCATTCTCGTTTTTTGTTAATCTCTGTGGGTGCCCCTTCCCCACACTAAGAGTTAGCGACGACGAACGTTTTACACTCTGTGTCTAGTGAAATTATCACCGAAAACAGAGTGTTGTACACTCGATTGCTCTTGGTTAGTATATTTAACATATCATATCATTCGTTTCGAGTGTTTTCTTAAGACCACAGCTTAAATTTCATTCTGCCAAAGAATCATTTTCGAGCTAAAACACGAAAGGTCAAAACACGTGTCTCGGGCTCTATAAGTCAGCTCATTTTTAACAGCCACATGACATGGGTGGCTCAGAAATGATTTCGGAAATCATTTATTTGACCACCTATTGCGGTGATATGATACTGTATAACTCAATGGTGTAGAGTGCGCAAAAACATTTGCGTCAGCCGGGATTCGAACCTAGATCTTACTTTCTGGTAGCATGTGCTAAACCGTTGCACCACCGACGTTCCCTGTGCACTCCATGGCTGACGCGAACGTTTTTGCACACCACTCTACACCATTGGTTTTAGTAAAACATCAAAAATGATTATTTGGCAATGTGATGAGATAAGCTTGCAGCTGGATGGTGCCCGTTATAACCTGCTCGTGCTTCCCAGGTCTCTGTGAATAAGATAAATTATAGACTTGAAATGAGGGTATGAGTCAGGACTTGCTCTTCTTACACTGAAAGTGTTAATGAAATTAGGGATAGGTGAAAATGATGCCATATTTTTTCATATAAATCCGAAAATGATCTAAGATCCAACCCAGGATTCTATTCATATCAATGGCTGCCACATTTTGATCATGTTACTGGAGTATTGTTAGATCGAGTCACACAAGTAATACTTTTCCTTTATCATAAATCTTAGCTACAAATCAGTTGATTTCAACATTTGTACTGAAAAAATCATCGTAATCGTCGTTAAAGGAAACTTGGACTTTTTGAACCAAGATACTTAAAGTGAATTAAAGGTTATCATGAGGGTTCAGCAGTCGCTTGTGTCACATTAATTAGCTGTTGTGAACATATTGGGGCATCAATCCCAATCTACGTCTTTCCCAAACCTATGTGTGCAAAGATAAGCAGTTTTGTATGGCATTTCTTCTACTGTTTGTTTTGCCATAACAGCTTCTTTGTTGCACTTTAGCAATTTATCCCATAATTATTTTTGCATTTCAACATTTCTTCTTTTGCCAATCTAATGCTATCGCGAAAAAGAAATCAGTTGATCAATAACACAAGCACCCTCATAATCAGTGATGAGCAAAGATTTGCTGGGTAAAGATTTGGCGCATTCCTCTTAGAATTAGTGGGATTGGCGATCAAAGTGAGTGAGGTTCGTTCGAGGTGATTGCAATCTTTGAATTTTCTCTCCCGTAGATGCTGCTTCAGGGCGCAGATACGATAACAATCCGACGGGGCAAGATCAGGGGTAACGGTGGATGTGGTAGTGCGGTCTGGCCCAGTCTCTCTAAAATTTGGCCAGTCGACTTTGCAGTTTGAAGTGGTCGGTCAACGCAAGAAGTGTTCATCGAGACCTTGCGACTACCAATTTTATTCAGTTGCAAGCGATATTGCTACGGCCGGATTCAAATGTGACCGAGCTTCCAAAAATTTTTCAACACATCGTCTTTTAAAATACTTTTCGGCAATACCCGATTTGAAATAAGAAAAAATTGAGCCAAGCATTAAAGCGGGAAAAATTATGGGGCAATCAAACTAAGCAGCTCAGTTCACTCTGCAATGCCTTTTGACCAAATATTTTCGATGGAAAATTAAGATGATAAAAATCAAGCATCAACTATCAGACATTAGAGGCCATGTTTAAAAAAATTGAATAGTTGCCTATCGCATAGATGCAATTATTGAAAATATTCATTGAATGAGAATATACTTGTATGTTAATGTTAACCTCGCTTACTTAAAACTCTTGATAAGCTCCAGTTTCTGCTGGTGCCAATACTCCGCATGCGCTCCAAAGACCGGTACTATCGTCTTGGAGCGTATAGATTTAAGATACGTATGAGCCTTCATATCTTATTCTGCATGAAAATTTTTCGAAAATAGTTGTAGAATCGAATGCTCAAATGCTGTTGGAATTATAGAAGAAAACTCAAATGGATTTAAGCACATATCGTGAGCTCGGAATGCAATTACCTCACCATCTTTACAAGCCATTTCTGAATTTAGAAATTCTGTTTTGGCTTAGTGATCTTGAGTTTAACAGTGGTTTTAAGCGACCTGTTAGTGCTAACTTGCTAGCTTCTGTTATTCTGCTCTACTGTATACGATTTAGCCAAATGAAGATTGTCTGCCCCATGGTCTTCGTTTAGAGCCCTTGTGAAGTGGTCTAATCACCGTGTCATTGGTCTTCTTGCTTTGTTATTTCAATCTTGTGAAACCCCTCGCAAACATCTCTTGTAGAACTTTTGTCAGAATGAGGTATCATCTGTCGGGTCCACCTGACCTTCAACATTTGGCATCTACGACACAATCTTATATCAATGACGGAATCTAGAATATCACATTTCTTGTCATTCTCACGAGATAAAAGTCGCTTTTCAGTGCGTCTCTTTAGCAGATGATGACTAATATATGTAGGATGGCGAAATTCAATTGATATGGTTGTTATCCAATTTATGATCAGTCTTGATGTATAGCGAGGGGCACCATTTTGGCTTCATATTCCATGATCCACGGACCTCCCTTTTTGAGGGATCCCGCTCGGTCAGTCGCGAGGGCACGTGGCGCGTCCCCAGGTGGTGGATAGGGGAATAAACGCAACCAAAAGCGACAGTGTGCTTCCCAGAGACGCAGGTGGATTCAGGTGACGAGCTCCCTGCTTCTGCAGCGCCGACTTGACAAAAACTCTATTTCTACGAGTCAAGTCGGCCAAAAGCCTGCAATCAAGCGGCTGGGAAGTACAAAGGAGGCGGTTAGGAGTGCCTTCAACAAATAAGCTCCTCCCGCTCCTCCGAGAGAGACTGACAAGCTACTCGTGAGTACCCAGCCCCCATGTTTAGAGCCTGGCAAGCTATACGTTGGGCATCGAAATGCCAAAAACAGCAACAATATGGGCCTCATTCCCTGACCCCGAAAGAGCCCCAGATACGGCAGCGCCAGGTAGGACGAGTACGGAGAGGCTGCTAAAATCTCAGGGCCGTACTAGGCTGCCAAGATCGAAACAGACTAAAATGACGATCTGTACCTACAATGCAAGAACCCTTGCTAACGAATCCGCTGTAGAAGATCTATTGATTCAAGCAAGAAGAATAAGGTACGACGTCATTGGCCTGGCTGAGACGAGAAGACGCCATCTTTTTCACGCTGTTTATGACACCAGAGAAGAACTGCTCCTTGGTACATGCGATCGGAGAGCTGTCGGCGGCGTTGGCTTCCTCGTCAAATCGAATTTGACAGTGAACATCGATTCATTCGAACAACTAACAACCCGAATCGGACGATTACGGTTGAAACGATGTGGTTCTATGCCGGCTTTGACCATGTTCGTTGCTTACGCACCAACATCAAGCTATGACGAAGACGAAGTCGAAGCGTTCTATATGGACCTCGAAAAAATTCTTCAGGAAGATCATACATTCTTCAAGGTCATTGTAGGAGATTTTAAAGCAAAAATTGGACCTAGAAGAACGTCTGAAGAGCGTCACATAGGGACTCACGGACTAGCGTGCTGCTCTTCGTAATCATGGTAAAGGCTGTGGGGCCAAACACTGAGGTTTATTTGAACAAGATTATTCCAGATATCCTGCAAACTTATGCCATTTTCTCTTCGATATTGTCAGAAGTGACTGAGTGGGCATATCTACTTAAAATTTTGTGTTCCTAAATGTACATCTACCTAATGCGGTATACATGTTGATTTCCGCTGTATTTTTTCTCGTTGTCAATAATCAATAATATGGAATATATATTCCATTTCAGATCATTCTCTTCATTGTTCACCTCTCTACCTAATATATGTGAAATTCTTCATCGGTTCGTTCTATATTAAGTACCTCTAAGTACTCGATAATTTTGCGAGAAGGCTTGTCTCTACAATTCTTAGATTTTCGTGCATTTTATTTTCCCGTCTTGATGAAATTTTCACTTTATGATGTGACTTGACGAATCACACAAGCCCCTCATCGGACAGATATTGAAGAAGCTTATGCACCTTCTCTGGTGCTTGGTATTGTTTACGGTATTCACCTTTCTCAGGTTTCATTATTCATTTCTGTTTCGTAAAATTTGTGATCTTGCAGTTTAAGTAAATGGTTAGCCACTTTGATTTCCAAATTTTTTCTTTCTCACTGTGACCTTACAGTGGTTGTGATGTGCTAGTTTGTTACGACAGTTCATAGAAGAGCACTATCACATTGGTGCTGTGGCACAGTGATATGGAGTACTGATCATTTTACGACGAACAGTAAACAACCACTCAGCTGCTATTTCCAGTAGATTCACTATCTAAATTTTGCTTTCTTGATAGTGAGGCTTCACAGTAAACACGGATCAACTGATTATGTATACTCCTCTCAATGTCTTAAACATCCAGAACTGTGTGATGATCAGTGTGAATGAGTAGTCGTCATTCTATGTAGAGTAAACTGCTGTAGGCGGTCATGGAATGTTTGGGAAATCGGAGTGCTTCGTGGAGCTGCGTGCGTGACAGGAGTTCGTGCATTCTTTTTTAGCAGTTGCAAAGCTGTTGATATCACTATCTATCTAACACTGCCTGACATTTCGGTAGCTTCAACTTCGTGAGCATTTGAAAAAGTCGTATTCACTCGCAACTTACTCAGTCAAAACTTTTATATCCTGATTAGAATGAACACTGTTCTAACACTTTATTGGATCCGTCATCTCAGATTTTTCATTGTGGGGATCCCAGTACTCCTAACATTCAATTCGCTTTTCATCTCCTTCCTGAACGGAGTAGAATACTGATCGAGCGAGTCTCCTTGCAATCTCTAGGACAGCCTTGTTGTGGCGATTCATAGCGCGTTGTTGTTGACTGCCGGAGAGAATTTGGAGGTGGATCTTGGCAAACGCGCGTGCAGCGACGAGCATCACAACCACTCGGCTACGGCGACCCGACTGGAACGAACTGAATACATAATTTCTAATCGCAATTTAAACAACTTCTCACAGCCGTTCTCTTATCTGAAAGCTGGTCTGTATTAAGCGAACTGACAAAAACTCTTCCCAAGACATTATCTCAGCATATGTTTTGTTCTCGACTTTAAGATACTCTAAGGTTTCTGTTCATGCGACATTATTTGTACGCAGTTATTTGGCCGGATAAAGTCTAGGATTGCGCCAAAAGTTCGGAACATTTCTTGGAGGTCTCGTTTTCAAGCGCCAATCAACAGCAAAATCAGCAATATCTATTCTAAACATAGTAACTAATCTTCAAAGTACAGGCTTTCCTTTTTACTTTGAAACCTCGTTTTATGCTAATGT